AGGCAGCAGCATCACTCAGCTGCAGGCAGGGGTTGGCTCAAAGGGAGGGATGACATCTTGGGCCTTGAGCAAGCTCTGGTACCACCAGAAATGCCAAGACACCATTAAGAAGCTCATCTGAAGGGCATAACATCCAGCACATGAAAATAAAACCATGTGCTGCAGTTGTTGATAGCACCCGGAGGGCAACAGGATCTTCTATCTGCTACAGTGTGACCTTCCATGCAGCTTTCTCAAGTCTCAGCTTGCATTTCATTTTTTCTTCAGTCCTACTCAACTTTGTCAAAATCATTGCTAATAAATCTGAGGGCCTGGGAAGAACAGGAAGGACAGAGAGCAAGACCAGCAAACGCTGGTTTTCATAGGCATTTACTTTCTCAGCAAGAAAATTCCTCTGCCTCTTGGTTACAGGCCACTGGTATTTTCTAGTCCTTCAGAAACGAGGTGTAGGTCCTTCCAAGTGGGAAAGTGGTCCATTAAAAACGAGTGCCATTCCTGAACCCATCACTTCCAATCATGGAAGCTGATGATGTATCAATGCAACAAGTGCATAAGGAAGTACAAAAAATACCATCTGCTTTTAGCCTACAAAACCTCTGTTAACAGACCTGACTGCACTGCATGGATTCTCTCATGACAGAAACAATTGATACCACCATTCTGGGGTACACCGGGGTCAGCCTGTGCTCCACTGACAGCCAAGAGACATGATCACCTTCCCCAAGCACCAGGAACATTTTCAGCATGGAAAACTGCCTCAGAATATTCTGAGGCACACAGGAGGAGATGGTAGAGATGCTGCAGTGCAGCACATAACCAGTTCCCACACCCAACACACACATCCTCTACAAGCTCCATTCTTTCTGCTCCATTCTTTCTTTTGGTTTCCTTTGAAAGGAAAAAAATGAGGGGGAAAACATCTCTCTACCTACAAAAGGAATGAAGCCTCTTCACAAGCCAGGAATTATACTGGATTTGCTGCATCTCACAGCTTCATAAGAGGTACAGCAGGTGCCAACAGCACCAAACCAACTGGGAGCATCTCTCAGGGTGGTGAAGAAACACCTACTCCCCATTGAGCTTGATCTGCTTCCAGAGGAGGCTTGGCTGGCAGGGACGTATTCAAAACCCAGGAGCCAACAAATGAATAATGCACTAAATTTCAATGGAGACAGGCCTCTTAAGGCAGGTGTTGAATGGAGAGGTATTATGCAAACCAACATACGTGAAGGGAGCATCACCACAACCTTTGCTAGATTTAGACCCAGCAGAGAAGTCAAGAATCCCTCACATCAAAACCGGTTTTGCTCCTGCAGGTTCCAGCCCGTAACTCGGTGCTGCCGCGTGACAGGGAAGAGGAGCAGAAAGGACAGAGTGCTGTTACTCTCACTGGAAACCACACACCTCTGTACAGTGACCAAGGGCACTGTAACACCTTATTCCCCTTTTCAAAAGCAGAACACAAAGGTTTTGAAAAACAGTCCCTGTGATCTGCCCATGACTCAGATCTTCATCTAAGAATCCAGGCAATGATGCTTCTTTCCCTTCACTGCTGTCTTGTCTACCAGGGCCTTTGGGAAAGGACTGTTCCACATCATGTGGGGTGTAACTCCTGCCACAGAAGGGCCCCGTTGTTTGCAGAGCTCAAGGTGTTTGCACACTACAAAGAGCACTTAAAAATAAAGCAACCAAACCAGGACACTGCCTGCCTACAGCTGCCAGCCCAACAATCCCTGCAATCCCCAGCATGAATCACCACACACAGAGAAACATTTTAAGGTACAGTGCTCATCCCCACAGCTGTTATTGTTAGCATTTGTTACAAATACACATCAATTAAAAAAATGACAAACTGCATCTTCATCAGCAATGAGAAGGCAGGAGCAACCTCAGCCTTGTTCCACTCACCCCATCTTACCCAGACACCCTCCCCTGAGGAGAAACTCCACAAACACATCTATTATACTCTGAAGTTGAGCAGATGCAAGTTCTGGCACGCTGGCATGAGATGCCTTTTGGCAGACAGAGAGAGAGAGAGGGAGAGAGAGAGAGGGAGAGCACCCTGCCTCACCTCAAAACTCAGGCAAACCCAGACAAACAGGGCCAAACACCACGCGCTGGACACAGAGCGTGTGCGGGGCTCTGCAGGACAGAACCACCCAGCCCTTGCTCCCTAGCAGTAGGACAGGTCACATTCCTGCCTGTTTTTCCTCCTGTCCATCTCATGCCCATTTACTCTCCGTTTGCAGCAGGCACAGTGGATGCAGAACAAGAGGGATGACTTGCTGAGCCCACAGGAAGACAACAGCGCAGAAGGTAAAATATTCCCGCTGGGTTTGTACACTCTGGCTGGAGGCAAACTCTCCTCTAGCTGAGTACTCTGAGCCAGCTGCCTCAACACACTGGTCAGTAACTAAATGTTAGACTTACTCTGTGTCCTTCCTCATCCCTTTTATTCTCTCAGTCTGTTCCTCTCTCACCATTTCCTACCTCAAAGACAATCTCATGACTGCAAAACTGGGACTGCTCATGTTGTTCCACAGTGAATTCTCAAGAATTTAGGCTTTGTCATCTGCCCAAAGCTGATAATTAATAAAATTTGTAACATAACCCCAGTTTGGTTCAATGCTGCATTTCTGAGGAGCACATGATGCTTTGTCACTCATTTCAAACTTTGTGGGCAGCGTCATTTTCTCCTTTGATCCTGCCAAATGGGGTTTTTTGGATCTTGGATAGCAACCCATCAAAACTGGCATCAACCTAAACAGATCCATGGATGTATCGGGTTCTTCTCTGCTTTCCTGAACGGAGATGTTTGATGGTGGTAATCCCAAAACATTTCCAGTAGGTACCATGCACAGACTTCACTTACAGCACTCTGTGCTGCTATAAAAATACTCACTTATGTTCTGGAGAAGGAGTAGGACTGCATCTTTGCTCTAATTCAACTGTGGGTCTCCTGTGATACCCTAGTCCCCTCTCAGTGGATCAGCCCTGCAGGTGGCTCGAAGACTGATGAATTTTAAGCTACTGCATGCAGGAACCTTGAAGTGCAAGTGCTTGATTCACAGGAGCCCAGAAATGTCTCCACAAACGCAGTCCCAGGGATTACGTCACTTGGAATACAGGTCAGAGGAGCTGAATCACACAGAAAAGACCCAGTCCTGCTGGGTGACATGGAGACATGCCCCTGTTAGCAACAGCCAAATTGGATCTGCTTCACTCCAGAGAGTTAGGAAAGAGTTATTAAATCAAGGGTGAAAGCAACTGGTAACTTTGCAGGCCTCATTAGCACAGCTCAGGCTCAGTCCCCCAGTCACATGTGATGGGAGGGGAGTGTCCAGACCAAGAAGTGAACTCCCAGAGACTCAAACTGGAGGCCCCCGTGGAGTTAGAACAGTTTAGTTCAGCTCAGGATGTGTCTTCTGTTGCTAAATAAAATGTGTGCCCCTTAAAGCCGTGGGGAAGAAGTCCATGCAGAGGGCAGGGAAAAGCTTTAATTCTTGCTGACTTGTGCCTCAAACGGACAGGAGGGCTGGGGAGGAGAGAGGCTCTTTCCCATTAATGAGCTCACTCTGCTGGCATGTCTTCTGCCCTCCAAGATAGCTCCCACAGCATGAGTATAAAACCAGCTCTGTAGCTACCCAGCAGTGTAGATTACCCACTCCTGATGCAGTTCTTACATGGGTTACTGTCTGTTTCTGTCTCCAATCCACCCAGTTTCTGGCTCTCTGATGCTTTTCAAGCCCCAGCAATAGAGATCTCTACTGGTTCCAATTAACAAGCCAACGAGCCTTGCCACAGTCCTGATTCCATAAAAACAAGCTCGTATTACTCACCAACTGGTAGTAAAACACTTCAAAAGTCAGGCAAAGGAGTGCACGTTGCAGTCACCAACTGAATCAGCTGGAAAAAGTGCACAAAACAGCTCCCCACCCTTAACTATCCCTTTTCCAAAAGGGGCTCACATGAGCAAGGAGGTTGAAGTGCCACTGCAAGCCAGTTTGACAGAGAAACTCCTTTCCTGGCCCACACATCACCTCTCCCTCAGCCTGCAGGGAAGAGCTGGGAGCTGTTAGGTGAACAGCTCTGGCATCAGGGTCTGCAAAATGGACTGCACTGGGCAAGGAGCAAAATACCAACCAGCTGCCCAGCTGGCCCAGCCAGGCAGTGGTGCTACCCCCATCACTACCTTCCTGATGGCTTTAGCTCCTGGGGAAACTGGCTGAAGCCCCTGCTTCATGCTCCATGCTGCTCTGCCAAATAACCCTCAGCAGGGGCACTCATGGCAATGGCCCTGGCTAATGAATCACAGAATATTGGGGGTTGGAAGGGACCTCGGAAAACCATCGAGTACAATCCCCCTGCCAGAGCAGGAACAAAAAAAACCAACTAGGGCAGAGCACTCAGGAAGACATCCAGATAGGTCTTGAAAGTCTGCAGAGAAGGAGACTCTACAACCTCTCTGAGGAGCCTGTCCCAGGTAGAGAATTCAAGTCCTCTGTTTGCCACTCAGCACTGCAGGCACCTCCCCAGTTTCACAGAAGAGACTGGAGATGTCACAGTGAGAGGGCAGGAAAGAGGAATGGAATGGAAGTTCAGCTGAGGAACAGTATTGACAATTGTGTAAATTTGGGAATGGATGGCTCTTCTCTGCTACCTCCCTGAGCTGGTGAAAATGACCAAGACCACCTACAGAAAACTCTCCACAAAAAACTGAGAGAAAAGCTGTGACAGAGGTAACACCCAGTTAATTCCTGTAGATTTGTGAAATTGAGGGAAAAAGCAGATAAAGGATTTACACTGCAAACTGTGCTAGAATCATACAAAGGTACTGAGTTAGAGACACTTGCTTCTTGTTACCATCAGCCTTGATTTATCCTTCAGCCACTGAGTGTTGTGACACCTCTCACTGGTACCAACCAGCCCTTTGCTAGATACAATCATCCTGAAATAAGATTCCCAGCAGAGGAAGAACTCAATAATGGACTGTTTCTTACCATCATGGCCAGAGTTGAGAAGATGCTCTCCCAGGTCACAGCCAAACACCCTTTCCTTCAGGATCCCCCGCTGCTTCAGCTTCTGTTTTGTTGGGCGCGACTTCATGAATGTCCGGAGGAAGGTGATGAGCTTGCCGTGTTTTTTGGACACTGCACAACAGAATAAAAAGAGCACTTCATCTCAGATTTGGTTCAGTTAGGCAAGGCCAAGTGTAACACATTCTACAGAGCACATAAGAACTGGAGTAACATTAATATCAATTATTTACGGAAACAGATTGCCAAGGGCTGATACTAAACAGAGACTTGGCTCTTGTTCTAAGCCTTGGCCAGCCCAGCAACCAGAGGAGACAGCTGCAATGGAAGAGTTTAACACAAAGACACATACATCTGCAAAGCAGCTCCAGGTGGGAGTGCACGAAAGGACTGTCACAGCACTGGCTGATGGGCAGCACCTGAGAGCTGCAACTTCCAGCTCTGGAAAAGCAAACGAGGCTGAACCAACAGAACCAGTTATCTCATGTACACAGACAAACACAGAGCATAATCTACAAGCAGAAATAAATGCTTTGTTACTGGCTCTACTTCTAGTAGTCTGAGGAGCCTCCAGAACAAATGAATGACTAATCACATCTGAACTTGGAGGCCATTTGCTCCAAGTGCTGCAGATGGCCCTTCCAGCACACCTGCCACTTCCATGGACCTGGGAGGCACAGTCCATGCCAGGGCAGCGTCAGCTCCCCAAGTCTTCTCAAACCTTTGCAAGGTAAAAACATCACTGTCTTAGGTTTATTTAATAGACAGGCAAGGCAGCTGATTTGAAGAGATGTATCTATCCCCTCCAGAATAAATCCAAGAAGCCTACAAAGAGAGGAGACCTCAGGAGCCATCCCTCCAAGCCTCCTGCTCCGTCTCTCTACGTGATGCAGACTGGGCTCTGTGCCCTGCTGGTGCAATTGGTTTGCTCACACCACCCTGTCCTGCTGAGGAGCAGAACCCCGAGTCAAATGAACTGCAGAGTAACACAGGACATAAGAGGGTGACACAAATAAACTCCCACAAAGGGAGGGGAAGCTGGGCCCAGGTTTGAATGGGAAGCAGAACAATCAACTTTTCTTCCTGAGGCCCACTCTGAAAGCAAAAGGGCTCAGGGCCTCCCCAACAAAAGTGCCATTGTAGACATGATTTAAAAGCAGTTTAACTTCAACAGAAGAGCCCTGTTGAAAAGAACAAATCACTAGGTAGAAAAGGCTGTGCTTTGTGAGGAAGCCTTTACAGCTGCAGGAAGTTGTAAAGGCTCCTGCAGCAACATCAGCAATCACTCCTCCCTGCTCCCATCTCAGATCCCAGGGAGGAAACACAACTGTGCATCTCACCTGCAGCAAACCCATAAGTACTATCATCACATTCCAGCACAGTAACACTATTTTGAACCACAAAGCAGAGCAAGGAAGATCCTGGTGACAAAGGTACATCTCTTGGGTGTCACTGCTGCTCGATAACAGGCACAGCCTGGAATTCAGAGAGCAGCCTTGGGAGCTGGGACTCAGCAAAAGGGAGGTGGATGCAGCAGTGCTTGATGCAGCAGTCAGGGGATTCTTCAACTAGACAACATGAAAATCCTTGTCCCAAGAGCAAGGTTATACCATGCTGTGCTTTGTGATGTTTTAATCCCTTGAAACAGCTGAGTATTCTTCTCCCTGTTTTGATGCAGCCCCTCTATTTATAACAAACCCGATTCCAACAACCTTAACATATTCCTGTGTGAGTAGAGTTGTGCTTTGGCATACAGTCCTTCTTCACAGCACGACACCATGCTGATCTGCAGCAGCTAAATGCATCTGAACACATGAAATCCTAACATCTCCAACAAACTCCACATCTGCACTCTCAACAATCAAACCCAAATCGTTTAACAAAACACAGAAGCATTGAGCACGACAAACTGTGGCTATGGGGGCTTTAATTAAAGGAATGTTTTCAGTTTGATGAGGTTTTTTTAATTCCAGACAATAAATGAACAGATTGTGCTGACACACCAAACAAAGTTAGGACAGATTTTGATTGTATCCATCATCACAGTAAAGTAACAGCTCATTTATCATCTCCTTTCAGCTCTGTTCAAGAATTAATGGAGACAAGAGTCTCATCCTGAGCACCCTGGGGCTCCTGTGATAGTGCTACTGGAGGTGATAGACTGGAGACAGACACTTTCACAGTCAGATAAACAAACAGAGCAATTACTAGTATCCGTGTATTAATTGCAATAATTTCACAGACTCCATATACAATTCTGCATGAAGTATCTCGCTTGGCTGAAGGAAAAATGAATCCATCAGAGAATGGATTTATGATGGGGAAAATGCATCCAACTCCAATACTGTATAAATTCTACTCCTGTGGGTGACCAGGTCAGCAAGTGACCTTTGGGTGTCCCCTCAGGCATGAAAACCATAAAAAGGTGCAATGGAGTAACTTGATCCACCGGTCCAAGAATGTGCTTTGCTGATACATGTTTACATCTCACACCAGAAGGGAGACCTGACTTTTAAAAACACAATAAATCTGTTCTGCCTTTAAGTCACTCCATACAGGTTAAAGTAATTGTCTTGTTTCCTGCATCATTAAGCCGACTCCTGCCAACACCCACAGGGTCCCAGTGCCACAGCCCAAGCCCCTGCCAGGGCACTGCCCCAGCAGGTGAAGTCACCAGAAATTCACTTCTCAGTGGTCTGTTGAAACATTTGCAGTTCTTTGGTTAAACACAGTTCCCTGCACAGCTCTTCTCTGAATCACTGCCCACCCTGGAGGAGACTTTCTCAGGCTAAACCCACTTCAGAGTTTTATACCTACACAGGAATGAGTCACTGATGGGAGTGAGGCTGCTCCTGGGTGGGGAAGAAGAGAGAACAGTGAGAAATTCCAAGCAGTCACCTCTCTGCTGACAGGTTGTAAAAAAGAACACAAAGGCAAGTAGGTGTCTGATAAGGGTAAGTTACCCTTCTGAGCTGGAAGCACTCAGGGCTGCCCCGTGTGCTGTCTGGCTGCCAACAGCAATAAAGGCTGGAACGCTTTCCATCCTGCTTCCAAGTCCTCTGGCACCATCCAACCCTCAAACCAACGATGCAGCCTAAGAGAGGTTTAAATTCTGATGCATGTTAGTTTAGATGAAGCCATTTGCTCATCCTGAAAACCCCACAATTAGTGAACAATGGAAGTTATGGAATCAAGACACGGGGTTTAGGCCAGGAAAGAAATAAATCTAAAATGGTTACAAACTAAGGAGATGTGAATTAACTAATTAGCCCTTTTCTACCTTTATTGTCCCACCAATAAAGTGGGGATATATGACAAAACCATTCACAGTTTGTGTCTCCATGTGAGGTTGACACCTGACATGGGAATAAAGTCAGACAACGCAGCAGCTTTAGTACCAGGAACTTCACATGGCTGCAACAGAGAAGGTGCTGAATTACCAACTGAAAGGCAAATAAAACTAAACAAAACCCCTAAGATTGATCCATATGACTGACTCAGATTTAACTGCTATAAAACAAATTGTTTACCAAGAAATGAAGGCTTTCCTAGAAGGAGCAGGGGCTGATTTCCCTCAGAAGGGCTGAGCAGCCTGATCAAGCACAGACAAATTCTCCATCCAGCTCCGTGAGACTGGCTGAACAAAAAACCAACCCATCAAAACCCAAACCAAAAAGCCCACCTGAGGTTGGACTGCTTGTGAAGTTTTGTTGGCATGAAAGTGTCAATTAGGAGTGAGAAAAAATATCACACCTTGAGTTGACAGAACAACTCAGGCCAAAGCCTTCCCAGGCTGGGAAGAAAGAGGAATATTTGTGCCAGGTAGTTTATAGTGGTTTTGGGAAACTGCCATAGGCTGTACCTCCTGAGGAACATTCACCAATCAAACCATGCCATTGTTGCTACACCACCAAGCTTTTGTAGTATAAAAGAGGCCTGAAATTCCCCTGACATTGATAAAAACTATTAAATAACAATTACTTCATTAAAAGCAGGGCTTGTTCACCCTAGTGCTGCAGACTGAAAAGGCAGGCCAGGATATAGTTCATGCAGCTTTGTTTGCTGCAGAAATGTGTCAGCCATCAAAGTGGTTTCATGGCTCTTGTTCAGCACAATATGCTTTTCCTGGGATTTTTTGGGGAATCAACTGGAAAGCTCACAGGGATCTCTTAGGATATGCTGAAGATTCCAGTGTCTTCTCTGACCTCCTGCCAGGCCATGGTGGCCATCCTGCCATGTTCCTGCACCTCTTGGTGAGGTTGCACTGAGCTCAGTCACCTCAGCCATCCAGGTTAAAAATGATCTGAACTTGGTGCTCTTAGAGCAGAAGAGTGTGAGTGGTGGTGGCAGCCCAGGTGAGGGGGCAGGAAAGCACACCAAGCCAAGCAACCCTTCTCCCACTGAGCTCCCTGCCAAAGCCACCAGCACAGCTCTGCCCTGAATTCTCTGAGGCACCAGAGTGCCCATTTCTGATCCCACTCATGCCCCTGTGGATTTGGCAGGGATGCAATTACTCCAGATTTACACCCCTAAGACCCATGGCTCATCAATCCCATGTGTTTCAGCACCACATCTGGGCCATAAAACTCTTCCCGAGACCACTCCAAAAATGTAATATTTAATCACCATTGCCCGAAGTCTTGGCAACAAAAGTAGGATGGAAAAGCTCACTGACTCCTTGGCTTTGAAATGTGGGGATCAGAGAGGAGAAGGCTTTTAATAAATGCACCCTGAGTGTGTCCCCAGTATATTTTTGCATGCATTTTCCTTCTCTTTTCAGTAAGAAAACCCCACGATGGAATGGCAAGAACACAACCCAATGCAGTCAACACACTGAGACTCCTGCAGGCCTGGGCTGCATCTCCCACCTTACACACTCTGCCTCTTCCCAAAGACCAGGGGAACCAAACAACAGAAGAGCAGATATTAGCATTTTTCCAATCTTTTTTTGTGCACAAACCCAGGTAAGTGCTCACTCAGACACCTTGGTGTACAGTGACCCAGCAGCAGGTTTTGAATGTGTTCATGGCTGTTTCCTACAGGACATCCTCACAAATCCACTGCCTGTCCCCCTGCAACCCCCTGGCCAAGGGAAAGCAGATCCATGCTAAACA